ACTACTTCACCTAACAACAGAATACACTACCAAAGCTTGTGTGTATTTTAAAGCAATTTAGGACTTATTTTGGTATAAAAATATACCTTAAAGACTTAAAAGATTAGAAATGATATAATATCTCTTCTTAGATCACAGTGAATTAAACTAGAAATGGGGAAAAAAAGTTAGGTGTAAATTTCCAGAATACTGGGATAGTATACCTCTAAATAGCATATGGGTCAAAGAAGAAATCTCAATAGCAGTTAGTTAGAAAATATTTTGGACTAATTGAAATCACAACCACAATTTGTTAAAATTTGAGGGATCAGTGAGAGTAGTGTGTAGAGAAAATTTTATAGCATTGAATGCATATATTGAAAGAAAAAAATGAAAGATGCATCATGAATGATCTACCATGATAGCAAACCATGGGAAGAAAAATATTAAATCCCAAGTAGAACACAAAGAAATAACAGAAACAAGAGCAATAAATCAATGAAATTATAGACAGATCAATAGAAAAGAACAACAAAAGCAAAAGCTTATTCTTCTGAAAGATCAATGAAATTCATAAGTCTCCATTCAGGCTTAAAGAAGAAACAGATTACTAATATTAGAAGTGAAAGAGGGAACATCACTACCCATATCTATTAAAAGGATAATAAAGGCAAACTATAATAACTCCATTCTCACAAATTTAAAAACCAAGAGAAATGCACCAATTCCTTGAAAGACACCATCTGCCCAAATTCACCCAAGATGAAACAGGCAGTCTGAATAATTTTAAGAATGGAATATTCCAAATCAGAAAACATGAGGCCCACAAATTTTCACTGGTGACTTAAACTTTAAGGAATAAATTATTCTAAAATTTTATAATCTCTTTCAGAAGAGAGAAGAGGAACATTCCCTAATCCATACTCAGACCAGCATTGCCCATATAAAAAAAAAGTTTTTTAAAAAATTAAAAACACAATACCACTTATATTGGCAACTTCTCAACCAAATTTTTAGGAATAATTTAACAGAATATATACAAGATCTATATTAGGAAAATCTAAAAGCCTTGATGATAGCAGTTGAAGAATTAAATGGAGAGCTAATCCACGTATGGATAGAAAGACTCAATATTACCAAGATGTTAGTTATCCCTCACATTTAATGTAATACCTATGAAAATTAATATTTTTTTGGTTGTCAACAAACTGATTCTAAAGTTTATGTGGAGAAGAAAAAGACCAAAAACAGACAATACAATGTTCATGGAAAAATAGTCAGAATGCGAACACCCCAACATCCAGGTTCATAAAGCTACAATAAAGGAAGGCAGTGTGGTATCAGTGAAAAAAAAAAAAAAACTCAAACAGATCAATGGAACAAAATAGAGCATCCAGAAAGAGACCCATATAAATATAACAAACTGATTTTTTTTTTTCCAGTATGGGGGAATCAAACTCAGGGCCTAAATCCCCAGTCCCTGACCAAATCATTTTGAACAAAGGAATAAAGGCCACTGGAGAAGATATTCTCTTCAACGAAAGGTTCCAGAATAGTTGGTCATGCGTGTAACCACACCCCCACCAAATTCATCTAGATATAGAGCTTACATCTTTCAAAACACTAATTTAACATAGACTATTAGCGATTTTAGGAGGCAGCTCACGACAGCTCCAAGAAAGTAACAGGAGAACTTCTAGGTAACTTTGGTCTTGATGACAACTTTTTAAATACATTGATAAAAAAATCAAGGAACGATAAACCTTGATTTTTCTAAAATTAAATTTTACTCCTATATGTGACAGACAAGGCCAAGAGAGTATGAAAATAAGCTACAGGCTGGGAGAAAATATTGGAAAAAAAGATGTATCTTTTAAGTGCCTGTTATCTAAAATACATAAGAAACTAAAAGCTCAAGAGAAAAAAATGACACATAAAAGATTAAAAAATTGGCCAAAGACCTTAACAGAGAGCTCACCAATTAATATAAACAGATCCTAAAGAATCACATCAAAAAATATGGCCAACATCACATGGAAACGCAAACCAAAGCAATGAGATACACCACACACCTCGCAGGATGGCCCAACTCCAGAACTGACAATACCAAATATTGTCGCGCATGTGAAGCACAGAAACTCGCTGCTTGTAGAAATGTGAAATGGTACGGCCACTTTGGGCTACTGTTTGCTGGTTTCTTATAAAACAGGGTATACCCTCATCATGTGACCCAGTAATTATATTCCCTACTATTCACCCAAGGGAGTTAAAAATATATCTCCACACAAAATCCTACACATGGATATTGTAACAGCTTTAATCATAAAAAGACAGAAGCCAGTCTAAAGAGTCTACTACCATACAATTCCAACCATACGAAGTTCTGGAAAAGAGGAAACTATGGACACAATTAACAGATTAAAGGTCGAGTTTAAGGTGGGGGAAGAGGTATGAATCTGAACATGGACTCTACAGGGCTATGAAATTACTCTGTGTGATACCACAACAGCAAATACATGCCGTTATGTATTCCCCAGATAGAATTACCCATACCAGGAGAGATTCCTAAGGTAAGTGTCCATATCACCTTTGGTGATTAGGACTACATAATCACAGACACATCGGCTGTAACGAATGTACTGTTCTAAGGAATGCAGATACTGGGGGAGGTTGTACATGTGCAGGGACAGAGAATATACTAGAAATCCTGCATCTTCTTCCTATTTTGCAGTGAATGTAAAACTGGTCTAAAAAAATAAAGGACTTGTCACTGATGGTCCACTGACAGTCAACTGTGTTGTGACAAATCACCCTGAACGTATATCAGAAAAGTGTGAGAGCACTTTATTGGGAATGATATTTCCCTTGCAGAGAACACCGAGTTACACTACGTACAAAGTTTCTGCTGTAACTGCAAACAGCAGCCTTTCTTTTAAGCTGCCTAACACAGTGCCTGACATGTGGAGACAGTCAATGCATCACACTCATTCCTGGGCCACTTAGCCATGTGACCAGAGGACTGCTGTTATGGACTTATGCCTCCAAATCCAAACAGTCTTAAATATGCATTAGAGGAAGAGAACTGAAGCATAGATAATGCAAAGCAGGGGAAAATGAAAAGGAAAAATCAGGACATAGTTTAAGAAACAGCAAATATCTGTTCATGCAGCTGAATTAAATTATGCTCTGCAGTATTCAGTCAAAATTACTTAGTGACTGTTCCCTCTGGACATACCAGTCTATGACAAAGAACAAAGCGAAGAGGCTTTGGTTTTTATATTTTCCCTAATGCTGCAGTAGAAAACCTATGAAAGTAAATAGTCAACATTGCCTGCACATTCAGCAGGTCAGAGAAGACCAGGGCACTGCTCTTAATAATTAGGGCTGGATTAAACAAACATAATGTAGAAGTGAACTCTTTTCCAAAAGCCTCTATAAAACCTCTTGATTTTTTTTCTCCCAACTGCTAAATGCAATATTATACCATTCTCTGTTGATTCTACCATGCCTTGTTTCACTTGGGAAACTTTCAGAATTGAAACTGTGGTCAAAGCACCAAATAGATTTTTCCACCTGTAAAGCCTTCCAAATGATGAATTACAAAGGTTAAGGTCTTTTAGGTCCATCACATTCTTGAACCCCAGCACAAACTTAAAGGGATATCTGAGGATATCACAGCCACGCCTTCTTTCAATTCAACAGCAAGTGTTTTTATTCAATCATTTGTGAGCAAATGATGTACTTGATATTCTATTAGTCATTTTCCCTCCGCGAGTACATGCAGAAGCAAGATTTCTCAACCATGAGCTGCTCGGAGGCCTGAGGTGACTCACTGGTTGTCAGTTTACTCAGTTTTCTGCTGCAGCTGAGCTCTCAGGCTCAGCAGTCTCATGCCCCGTTGTAGTCTCGGGCCATCGCTTAGAGAGTGCCATGTACAGAGTATTCACATGTTTTGAAATGAACACCAGAAAGCATCCTACATCTCCAAGGCTTTTGCTTACCCATTCCCAGTCCTTACATCATGACGTTTGTTTGAGGCACAGAGTTATAACCTCTGGCAAAATTATGACGTGCATAGCCAAATCCTCCCCTGGAGTGATGCAATGCACCGCGTCAATTTTTCTGTCTCTGTCTGATGCTCGGAATCATTCTTAACACCGGCTTAAGAGAACCACTTACCAGTCAGTGGACACAAGACACAAAGATACTTTGCTATTGCTACTTGAGAAGGAACATGGCGGTTTTTACTGCAGGCCAGAGGAAAAGCACTACGAGGATTCCCGAGAAAACCCTTCATCACCGAAGCTCAGTGCGGACTCATGTAAATGCCTGTCTCTCTTTTCCTGACCCGTTTTGGACACCCGGGTTTGTGGGAGTATGCACGCTGGAGGTGGCATGCGTACACCACCTGGGACGTGTGGCCAAATGTCCTGACACTTTCGTCCTGAAGTGTGTCACGTGGAAAGTCAACAGCAGCTTTGGACGGCTCACCCAGCTCCACTCTGCCAGCTCACTGCGGGTGTTTGCTCGCACTGCCACCCTCAGACCGCAGGAGGAGAGAGGCCAACGAGTCTGGGATGCCTTACACAGCTGTCGCAGATGTTTACGGAAGAATTTGATACACCAAATCCCACCCCCCAAAAAAACGCTTCAGAATCAGGTGTCGAAAGCTCTAAATTAGTAATAGTGAGAGAACAGATTTCTTTGGTAACTGACCCAGAACATTAAATTGATTGTATAATTGAATATCTCCCTCCTATTTGATAGCTGCCTATTAATACTGCATCATCCTGCCTTATAGTCAATTGCAAACCCTAGAAATGGAAGAACATATTTATTTTGCAATTTTCTGCCATATGAACGACTAGTAATTGGTAATTTCTTTCTCCAAGGGGAGCCTATTATTCCAGGAGAAATGACGATCACCCATATTTGAAATGCTCAAGCCTTGGCTGCTTTCTCCTTTCTCATTCTTTGCCGCAGGTGAATACAGAATTTAAGGAGCTTGAACATTTACTCACATTTGGAGATGTATTTTCTTGGCTTTGGAATGATTGCTTCCTTCCCGGATTCCTTGTCTTTGATCTCAGGGAAAGTCAGAACGAGATGGGAATTCACAGAGGTCCCCCATCAACTGCCAAACAGAAGGCAAAGAGCCCATTAGATGATCTGAATTTTTCACCGTGTCCTCCAGATAATTCTTATGCATTTGAGAATGACACTAGTATAAAGATGTGACACTTTGAGAAGGACGTAGACAGTGGAGAATAATAATATTACTCAGGAAGGAAAATTTCCAGGTATAAGTTAACCCTTTGATATATATAACTCCATAGATGCCCTTCTCAAGATGATAATTTCACCCTCCTGTAGTTGTCTTTCAAACAACCAATTCTGACATATGATTCTGCACCTTCACATGCCTCTGTTCCCTCAAAGTCTCTCTAAATTAAACAAAAAACTCAAGTTTATGCAAGACTTCCTGATGATGGCCTCTATTTAGAGGGTTATGTAGTGTATGGGCTGTGGTCATCATAAACATATTCTTTCTTGCTTTGCCTTATTCTTATTTCATGAAAAATGTCATGAAAATCCCTGCTGGGATTTTTCCACTGTGGGTATTTTCTGTCCACATTCTGTTTTAGCCAGTGATCACTGCTGGGACCTGACCCCAGGGAAAGCTCTCCAAAAAGCGCACCAGCCAAACGAAGCTTCCAAAATTACCAAAAATGGATGAAAAGAGCCAAGAAGGCCAGGTGCTGGGCAGGAGGACATTTTAGGCTTGGCTGATGGTCCCAATTGGATACTTCCTCTGCCTGCTGGAACTATCCATTAAGCAATGGAGACTTGTGTGTCTCTCTGCCTTCCTATCTCCTCCCTGCCCCTGCTTTGCATTCTGTACCCCTCTCATTTCTATGTGAGCTGTAGCACGTTGTGTACCATGCAAAGTGCTGCACATATCACTCAACTGATGGTGCAGAGGGTCTGAGTGGTCCTTTAATGGTGCTTCCTTTCTCCCTGCAAAAGCGATGAACACTGCATGCATTATATTTAGGGATGAGAGGCCTTGCTGAGTTATACACAGAGCTAAGTACTGAATAGCCCCCAAATTCATCAAGCTCAGGGATTCAGGACACAAATCGCTTATGATCTATCGATGATCAACCAGGATGTGCAAGGCTATCTCCATTCTCCTTGTGCTGACAACTCTTCCACAGATGACGGTAAGAATTCTCCTGTATTTTCTGAGCCCCATTAGTTTGTTCCAACAGCATGCTGCCTGTGGCTGCCTTTCTCTCCAGGTCTATAACCACCACTTCAGCTCAGGACCTCATTAACTCTCTCAGTCTTTACATTTCTTACTTGCTAAAATGAAATGGACTCTACATTGGTCTCTTTCCCGTGGTACAGGCCCACCCAGCCCACTCTGCTGCCAGTGTGAGTCCTTGTAACACAGTTTTTATCATGTTCAGTCTGAACACCTGGGACAGCTTTCCTGTACTTCAAAGGAAAAGCTCTTAGACCTTCATCAAGTTTCGCAATATGTTTCCAAGTGAATCTCCCCAAATCCTTCTGCACACCCATTTCTGCATATCCGATGCCTCAGCCTCCCCTAAAGCTGTCTCTTTTCACACTTTCACAGTCCTTTCTCTCTGAAACGATCTTTTCATCCCAAGTATTTAAAAATGTACTCATTCTTTAAAGTTGAACTGGAAAATCACTTTTTTGGGTAATTTTCTCTGATTTACTTGGAAAATATTAATCATTCCCTGGCATTCCCTGGGCTTGTCTTATGTTTAACTGGTTACCTCTCTGTCCACCAGACTGTAAGCTCCTACAGGTCAGGAATGAGCTTATTCACCCTGTGGAAGAAATAATGTCCAACATAGTATTTGTTCATAGAACAGCTCAATATATGTTGGTTTGTAATAAAAGAATGATTCCAGTTCAAAGTAAGCAGATTTTCTACTGCCTACATAATTGAGTTGTAATTTTCACATTTGCAGAAAGCCTGTAGGACAGGAAAGGGAAAAGCAGCCCAGGGTGAATGACAGTGGAAAATTTTGAAAGACGTGTGCCCTTCAAGGACCAACTTCATTACTCCCACAAGACCTACACAAAGACCTTTCTCTGTTGTCTCTCTCACCTCCTTCCAGCTTGTGGATTTGTTTCATATTCTTATCTCAGTTGCACATGGCTTCTTGGAAGTGGTTTTATTAAAATGTATTTGAGGCAGTTGCTGGTCCACTGGGACTTTCTTGCATCCAGCTGTGTTAGATAAGCACTGAGAAACTTTTATTTTTCTCAATTAAGAAAAGTTATAGCTCCAAAGATAACTGAGAGACTTCAGGTTCTACCCTGGATGCATTGACACCACAGAAAAAAATGACACAGTTGCTCTACTGTGGTGGCTGATAGTGACGTAGTTATACCAAGGCCCTGAGCCTAAGCCAGGGAAATTTCTCCTACAGCAAATCCCTCTGGCAAATCATAGCAGGTTCCAGGCCCTTAAAGATCAAGAGCAACGATCCCATTCAAAGCTGAAGTGAAAAAAAAAAAAAAGCAGGAAGTTGAAAGATCTAGGAGCAAAATTACTGCAATGGACAGATATTGCTAGTTATAACTTTGATCATGCACTAGGAGGGGAAGCAGGACAAAGTATACCCACTTCTTGCTTTTTGGGGGGATCGTGAGGGATTGGGTACTAAAGTTTAGAGCAAAAACTGAGAAAAGCTAATAAATTTTGCATACTAAAATGAAAAATAAAAAAGGTGTCCTATAACAATCTATAAGGGAAAAAGAACAAAGGGAAGGGAGTTAGCATGTGGCGGAAGCCTATGTCTTCTGTCACAAGAAATGGCATGTTGAAACATATTCCTCACCCCAGGATGAAAATGAAGGCATCTGAGTTACTATGTACTGATACTACAGTGCAAGAGGAGTTAAGAGCTGGGCCAAATCTTGCCTCAAACTTGCCAAGAACCTTCAACCCAGCCATATAAAAATACTTCCTTAATCTGATTAAAAAAAAGATGGCTTCATAAATCATTGCTAGTATTTGTGCAGCATGGAACAATGTAGTTATTTATGTCATGTACAAGAGAAAAAAAACGGAAAATGTGACATTTTTAAGGTTTAGATATGTCTTCCTTTGTCCTGAAATGTTATATATGTTGATTATATTGTAATATTTCTCTTAAAATAGGAAGCGCATGTTTCAGAAACCAAGTGAAAGGAAGAATTGCACTTGGCTGTAATGCTACTCAATCATCTCAACATTTAAAGATGGAATCAACTCACCTAGGAAATGGAACTTTCTCTGGGAAGCAGTGACCCTATATTGCAGTTGGCTTTGCTGTTGACTGTTTTTTTTTCTTTTTTGCTGTCTGCCCTAATAGAGGAGGTAAATCCCTGTTGTCTGAATTTTTGAAACAAAGTTTGGTATTGCCCTAGGACAAGCCCAGCACATCAGGATAGGAAATATATTATTGCTTGATAGTACCTTGAATCAAAAATAAAAGCAATAACTAAGAACCTATCTGTTGGAGGTAAATAATTTACATACACCATTAAGAGCCAACTAACTAAATCAGGGCCTGGCAGGGAGGGAGTTTCCTTTGATAAGTTGCTTTAATTCTCCTCTCAAACAGGCCACAGGGGTTTTAGCTTTTGGGACTCAATAGACTTCCTGCAGAAGTCATGGGGTTCTATCAAGCAATCTAGAAACTAAAGGGAAAGAGCCACCAGGTGACACACAAGTTAGACAGAAGCTTATAAGAGCAGGAAGAGTAGGCCAACATAGCTGAATAAGGGAAAACAAGGCAGATTGCTTCATCAGCCAGCAATGCAGATGAGAATATGATCGCTAAAGGGCAAGGTCAGAACTAGAAGACGACAGGATTTGGGAAGAGATTTGAAGGTCAGGAGTAAAATGGTGACACATCCCTCATTTCCTTAGACCTCTCCAGCCCCTACGGAAGTTGAGTAGTGTGCCAAGTCCCTTCACATTTTGGTTGCCTGTTCCACAAAGACCCGTGCCCTCTCTTCTCCCTATGAACCTTGGAGGTGGAAGCCTCCCAGGTGGCACAGTCAGCCTTCCTGCAGGTAGAATACAGATGGAAGGTCAAAGCAAGACTCTGTTCTGATCAAGCTTATGGTGGACGGCTTGCAACAGTCGTCACTCTTTAGTAGTGGGGTAGTGGGCACAAGGGTCCTTGGGAGGCGGATTCTGGCTATAAAACTGCTCGGCACAGCTGAGGAGGTGGCACCTCTGGGTGGTAGCTAACCCTCTTTCTGTTGTGGGGAGCAGATAACAGTCACTATTCAGATGCCAATTGACTTCGGAACAGTTCTGAGTGGTGACTTTATCACTCCATTTTGGAAGCTGTACTTAGGCAAGTTAGTATTCATGCTAAACCAGGGTCTGCACTGGCACATATTTGTGTGTATGCATGACACCTCGTGTGACTGACACAAACACGGAACATGCTCCATGCAAGGCCATTTTAATGGATTCTCTTGGGCCCTCCTTACAAATTGTATTCTGCTATCTAGCTGTTTCTTTGCCTTCATCTCCTGGTTTTGGAGGATTTTTTTGTTAAGCCTCCTTTCTTCTGCTTTGACCATCAGACTATGAGTCTCCCCGTGTCTTTGGACACAGCTGAGTTTTTTCTCTGGCTCTCCACACTTCTGGCCACCCAGACCCATCCCCTGTCCAAGCCCCTGCCTGGACCACCAAGCAGCACTCTTGCTATGGCTCAAAGTCAGTCAGGACTGTGCAGGGTGTTAGGTCACTGGACCAATTGCAAAATGTTTCACTTGGAAGGGTGATTTCACCACTACAAATAGAAAGGATATCATATAAAACCATTTACAAATTTGAGTCTCAATGGGGAAAATTTTTAAAAAAGGAAAGAAAACCCCACCGTGTTAACTACAGATTACACAGTCTCTACCATCAATTACTTTGACGAAGCTCAGAAAATATTTCTGTAATCTTTTTGGGGAAATAAAAAACCACTGCCGCCTATTGAATTTCATTTTTTGAATTTTAAATACCACTTCAGAACCATTTCAGAAACCACCAAATAGGTTAGAACTGATCACAGTGCTGGCACGTAGTGACAGAGAGATTTGAGATGAAGAATCCGGGCACAAAGATCATAGCAAAAGGAGGAAGGAGGAGGGGTTGGAGCAGACACTCTGGGTAACAGCGAGACTTCTAAGACACTGTGCAATGGCAGGAACTCGGCCTCAAAAAACCGTCAAGAGAGGCAGTGATTGAGCCCAGGAGATTTTGACTCAGGAGTCAGTGTCCCAGCTCTGACACTGGCCAGCTAGGCGATGTGGGATAGGTTACTCTATCCCCAAGTCCTCACCTGTAATAGATAGAAGTGTAACGATATGGGTTGTGTCACGCCAGAAAATAGGATCAGATAACGTGGTAAGGTAAACTCTCGCTTGACACAAAACAAATATTAGGAAGGTCAGCAAATGAGGCAAGAGGCAAAGTGCTGGGAGTGGGGTGGAAGTAGAGTGCTCACAATGGTGACTGAATAGAGCCACAGGAAGTGCCTGCAGACCTTAGGGTTTTAATTTCCTCTTCCCCATTCCCTTTCCCACTCCTAGCCAGTAGCCACCGCCAACACCCCCACTACCCTCAAAGAAAAGCACAGTCACCTGACACAGGCTGACACAGCTTTTTGCTCTCAGAAACTCCAAGAAGTACGTCTTGCTTCTCAGACCCCTCTCTGATAGTCTGTCTCCTGCCGGGAGAAACTGGCTCCGCTTGTGCAGAATAAGAGAAGGCCCAGTTTCCCAGTACCTCCAGGAACAGACCACAGGCAAACGAAATGGCTGCGAGGATCCCATTCCAGACAGAAGCATCCGATAGCAGAGCTGAGGATTTGGTCTCAGTCTCTCGGAATGTTAAGGGCTCTGAAAGGGGCCCCGTGAGGGCAGAACACCTTAGATTAGGGCTGGAGGTGCCTTGCCCAAGAGCACTACACTGCCAGGACCTGCACAGGCTATGCTGCACAGAAGGAAAGCCCTAGGCTTTCATGACAAACACACTGGCGCCGCAATCTAGCTCTGCTTCTTAGTCTTGCCCTGAGGAAACTTTCTTGCACCTTGAAGCACTGGCTTCCAAAACAAATACAGGTAGTATCAGCATCTGCCACACAGAGTTGACCAAAGTATTATATGAGGCCGCATCAGAAAACCCTCTAGTCTCGTACCTGGCATTTAGTTCTGTCTTCGCCTTTCTTTCCAAACGTGCTGCTGCTGTTGCTTCCACCCTCCGCTCCTTGTGGCCGTCCTCAAGGCCCTCTCTGGCCTGGGCCCAATCTTGCTGATGAAGTTTGCTGACTCACCAGTTCTTTTCCGGTCCAGGTGAGAGCACTGGAGCCAGCTTGATCTGGGCTTCTAAAGGTTCCTGACAAAATTATCCATTGCAAAAGCGTAAGATCGTAACTGTTTACATATTTACACCACCCCAGTGTTACAGTAAAATTGTCGCTGGGACCCTCGAGCTGCCAGCTTTGTGGCACCCATTTGGATGGTGAATGGGCCCATTTCTTTCTCCCGTATTAAATACCCACAGGCAGTAATCCTCATTATGGGCCAATGGCTTGGAAAATGTTATTATTAAATCAAAGCCATTTGCAGTAAGGGGAAAAATTCATCTGTAACTATAAACTCTGTTGCTTATAGCTGGGCGTTAAGAAAACAAATGGTTACCAAGTGTCTTCAGCCCAGCACTTCCAAGTTTAATCACCTGGCAGGCTCTCCAGGTGTGGGGCAGGGCATGACCCAGGAGGAAATTCCAGGGACAGGGATGGCTTCTCACAGGATATCGATTCAAACCCGAGTCTCGGGCACTGGCATTGGCACGGGCACACAATGGCCCAGCTATGACTTAGATAGCCCTGCCACTTATCCTGTTTGTTTTCTCAAAAAGGCATCAGTTAGGGTGAACTTTCATGGGCTGGGGCCTCTTCTTACAAAATCATGAGCACAGCCTGTGGGCTGTACCACTTAGGAGAAAAACTGGATAAGCAGCGGAAAGTCTCCATGTTCACTCCTCTGGCTTGGAAAGAGATCATGGAGTTGTTGGGTCAGAACTTCTCTATCAGCTCCAGGGCCATGCAGTGAGTTACAGATTTTGGAGTCATGTCTCATTATGGCTGTGCCTGCACTCTCCTCACACCTGATCCTTGGATCTAGGCTCTAACTGAGGTTGAGGAGGCTCACGGGAAACGTGCTGCTCCTCCTCTATTGCCCTTTGGCTTAGCGGAACCAAAATCGGTCACTGCTGTGCTGTTGACATCATAAGCAAGGCTGATAATTGAAACCTAGGGAGCAACAGGGGCACTGGAGCCCTTCCTATCTATCTATCTATCTATCTATCTATCTATCATCTATCTATCATCTATCTATCATCTATCACCTTCCTTTTAAACTAATTTAATTCCTTCAGAAGATTTGTTACCTGAATCCTGTAGCCCAGATGTGTGCACCTGAGGCCTATGGACCTCATTTGTTTGCCTGTCCTAAGGAAACAGCCACAGGACGCAGCCTCTCCACCTTGGTGCTGTGAAGCAAAGCCAGCTGTTAGCACAATGCATGCTGGGACGGTGGGATGCACGCTACAAACCCTGGCAGCGCCTCTCTACTAGCCCCTATTCCCTTCCTCCATTCTCTGTTCTCTCCTAGTTGCCATTTCTCCACAACTTTGGTTCTGCTTCCCAATTTATGCTATTCCTTCTCTTTCAGCAGCCCTCTCATGCCTGCCACTGATCAATTTCCAAGTCAGCACTCTCCTTCTAATGAAATGCTTGGTACTGTTCCTGTAGCACAGACATCCACAGTCTCCCTGCCCCGTGCTAGCCCAGTCTTAGCTCCACGGTCTGACCACCTCTAGGCTTCTTCTTTGCCACAAGTCTTCATGGACGATGGGAGCTGTGAAGGAAGGCAAAGTACAAGTTTCTGGTCAGGAATCCAGAAGATGCTTCTGGTCTTTGCATGTCGGTGACTTAATAGAATCACAAACAGTGGGATCAGGAGCAATGGCTCAAAAAGTGTATAATGTAGAATTAGAAGCTTACAACTGAAACCTGGAGTTTATCACCATCTGCTTAACTAATACCCTCGCTCTACAGGCCAGAGAAGTTACTGAGCCGAGTGGCATAGCTTGTTAAAAGCAGTGCTCCTGTTCCCCAGTTTATTTTTCAACTAAAACAAAATCTTTCAGCACTAAAATATAATCTCCAATCTGCCTAAGAAAAAGGCTTGTGATGGCAAAACTGCTCCTGGAAACCTCAGGGGGTCATCAGCTACAAGACAGGTTTCTAGAGCCCCTGTTTGAATGGAATTAAACATCAGAGTTGGAAGACATTTACCTCAGCAATAACACCAGTGGCCTTGGCAGTGACAACGAACCTTTTCAAGTTTTCAGTGATAACCAACAGCTGGTGCAGCACTCATGCCTTAGGTTCACCAACCCTGGCCACAGCTGACCTGAGATTCAGATACGGATTCTTGAATGGGAAATGTTGACTCACTCAGTCACTGCCATGGCTCTGGAATGTGTAAATCATAGTGCTGGTTTTCTTCCTCCTTATTTTCAGAAGGAGAACTGTCAAGCTGTTAAAACTGGCTCCCTGGTTTAGGTGAAGGGAATAAATCCGGGGGAGAAACAGACTCCTTGGATTAATGCCTTTCAAGGCCAGCTTCACTGAGTATGATAGTCCAATTATAAAGAACTCAAAATTAAACAAATATCTCAATTTACTCCCAGAGATGATGTTGGTAGTTAATTACTTTATATATGAAGGCATTTCCAAAACATCTTTTTCTCACTTTCCCTGCAATAGTGGTCCATGGGCTGACGATGAGGGTGTGTATTAACAAGTGCTTCTCCTTCCAAGTGTCCTGAGCCATACTCAGGAATGAATAGAATAAACCGGTATTAGCATTGGGCTTTTTAAAAAATGAAAGATACAAACGTATCTGAGCTCAGTGAACAGAAAGATCAACAGTACGTGGTCCCCATTCTTCTCAAACTCTCTCCTTTGTCCCATGACAGATCTGTTTACAGGTCAGGGCTGCAGATGTTCGCCCTACCCCCACTTAACTTGTGTCTCCAAGGGGAGCCAGGAAATTCAGACAGGGTCTCAGAACAAGACGTCAGCTAGAGCAGCACCATCACGTAACCCAAGGTATAGTCCTGCTCACATGGGGGCAGCAACACTCATCGTGGGAAATCCTGCCAATATTATCATGTTATTCACTAAGTCTTACTTGTAATTTTCTTACAATCAGTAACTACCATTCTTGTCCTTTAGTGTACAAAGTAATTGAGAAATAAAACATAAGAAAGTGACAGGGCCATAGATTTAAAAGTACAAGGTCCTGAGTTTGATCCCCGGTACAAAAATCAAACATAAAAAAATACAGAAAGTTACAGATGAAGTCCAAAATGTCAGTTTTTAGTACTGATAAACTGATTGGCAGCTGTGACTCCACATCTGTGACCCCAAGAGTTTCGTTCCATTCCTTGCCCCACGCTGTGACTAGGGACCGTTCCCCTGAAAGAAATTCGAAACTATAAAAATAAATGTAGTCAGGGCTGCTATCTCTCAGACTGGTCCAGGACATTTGATTTTCTCACCTTTATGGCAACATGGCAACATTTTGAGAGGAATATACTCTTGTCTATTGACAATTTCTGCTTTTCTTCATTTCTCTGTAAATTTTGACATAATATCTTTGTGTGTGTGTGTGTTTTATATTTACCTTGGAGTGAGTTGGCTTTTGAGATCAGTACTCTGCAGGAATGGAAGAACCCCAGCTAGAAACGCTTTATACTGAAAGGCTCGCCATTTTCCCTTCTCATAAATGTAGTCTGATCCCCTTTAAATAGGATTTAAACAAGAAGCAGGCATCTTTCTAAAAAGTGGGTTCAAGAGGGAGGCTTCTGTTCTCACCTCGCACACCCCAATTCCATAGCCTCCAGTTTTGGCCCCTTGGTACATTCCACCTGCCATAAAAAGTAATATAAATATTTTTTTGTGGCCAGTTTCTGAAACTTGCTCTGTTGGGTGCAATTTTCACTGAGGTCTCCTTGGTATTTTTTTAAACTTACCCATAGGGAACTTCCACATACACTCAGCTATTTTTGTCAGCCCTTGAAAGTATTTTTGGATTCAGCTTCCAAAAATGGAAGTTTCGATATTTTCAATTTTTTTGTTGTTGTTAATTTCAGATTGTTTCCAAAAAGAAAGGCAAAGAAAATGCCAAATCTGTGCAATTTGTTCAAGTCTGGGAACAAACAGCCAAGGACCAGCAGACACTTGAAGAAAGAGGCTAACACTACAGAGAAAGGTAAAGTAAGCAGAAAAACAGATGCAGCCTTAAGAAAATAAAAATAGAGGGTGGATGAAAATTTTAATATATTTCCTTAGAGAAATAAGAGAAAATGTCATGTCCATGAAATAATGTCAGGATGCTACGTGTAGAAATAACCAGAGAACTATATAAAGATATTGAAAATTAAAAATTAATATTGGAAATTTTCAAATATTAGAAGGTGTTAAGTGAAAGGAAATCAACCTTGCTGTAAAATGGAATTTTTTTCTTTTTTTTGCTTAAAAGGATGGGACAAATTCAACAGACAATCTGGAATGTAAAGCTGAAGAAATTTCTCAAAAGGGAAACAAAGAAAGAGCAAAAGGACAGAGAATTAAATTTGAGGGATGAATGGATTTAAATCATTCCCAAAGAATGAATGTAAGAATCACAAACATTCCACACATCACTGCTCTGTTTTATTAAACCAAA